CTGGTTGGGTTCTCTGGAGAATCGGTCATCCCAGAGGGTTGCACCGACTTGCCGATCACATTTGGGCAGGACCAAACTCAGGTCACCCAAATGGCCGAGTTCGTGGTGATTGACGGTAGATCGGCCTATAACGCCATCTTTGGGAGACCCATCATCCATTTATTTCGGGCCATTCCCTCGACACTTCATCAAGTTTTGAAGTATTCCACCCCCAATGGCGTGGGCACGGTCCGAGGAGAACAGACCGCTTCGAAGGAGTGCTATGCCTCCGCACTCAAAGGCTCATCGGTCTGTGCCCTCGAAACTCTCGTCGGTGGGGATGAGACGCTCGAGTTCGAGGCCGACCTGTAGAGGAGGGAGTTTGCCGCACCCACTGAGGAGCTCGAACTTGTTCCTCTGCTTAGTCCCGAGAAGCAGGTAAGCATAGGAACTAAGCTGGGGGCCACCGACAGAGAGGAGCTAATCCACTTCCTCAGATCCAACTTGGACGTCTTTGCATGGTCTCACGAGGACATGCCTGGTATCGACCCGGAGATTATGACGCATCGCCTCAGCATAGATCCGTCGTTCCGACCTGTTAAACAAAAACGAAGACCTATAAACAAGGAGATGAGTGATGTAATTGTTGAAGAAGTTAACAAACTTTTGAAAGCTGAATACATAAGAGAAATTTCGTATCCCGAGTGGCTCTCCAATGTTTTATTAGTTAAAAAATCTAACGGAAAGTGGAGAATGTGCGTCGACTTTACGAACCTAAATAAGGCATGCCCGAAAGATTGCTTCACACTGCCGAGGATTGATCAGCTCGTGGACGTCACAGCTGGGCACGAACTGCTCACCTTCATGGATGCCTACTCTGGGTACAACCAAATCAAGATGCATATCCCAGATCAAGATCATACCACATTCATAACAGACCAAGGTCTGTACTGCTACAAGGTCATGCCCTTCGGTTTAAAGAACGCAGGAGCGACCTACCAGAGAATGGTGAACAAAATGTTCGCCAAGCAGATCGGCCGGAATATGGAAGTGTATGTGGACGACATGCTCGTCAAAAGCAAGCAGTCTAAGTCGCATCTTTCCGATCTGACCGAAGCCTTCGAGGTTCTAAGGACATATCAAATGAAGCTCAACCCAGCTAAATGTGCCTTTGGAGTCTCTTCAGGAAAATTCCTTGGCTTCATGGTGAACCACCGGGGGATCGAGGCCAACCCTGAAAAGATTAAAGCTGTGCTCGAGATGGAGGCACCCAAGACGCTGAAACAGCTTCAGTGCCTCAACGGCAGGATTGCA